TGGATGCTGTCCGTCAACCAGCTCCAGTGATTGCACTTTCCTTCTCTGCCGATGATCGTGCCCAACTCCATGAGACGCGTAAGGCAACGACAACTCTAGCCAATGCTTTGCAAAGGCTGGAGGAATCTATGGTTCTCCAGCGTCAGCGCTTGGACGAACTCTCTGGCCAATTCTCTCGAGTCTTAGCCATAGAGGGGGAGATGAGGTCCAATACAGGTGAATCATCTGATGCTGCTCCTACAGCTTCTCAGGCTATTGGTCCAGTATCAGCTTCAGTTGCAGTTGAAACTGAGGCTCTCGGAGCTGAAGCAGTTGCTGCTCCTGTAATCACGTCCACCGAAGCTGCTCTAGCTGAGGTTGATGAAGCCATCCCTAGGGATGATGTCCATACCATCACTGCTGCTGGTGATGATGATGATGTTGATGATGATGAAGAAGAAGATGAACCTGTCATTCCAGACACCAGAGATGATCTAGATGGTGACGACGACGATGATGATGAAGATGACTTTACCATCAAGTTCCAGAAGCCATCAACCGTCACCAAAGGTGTTGCTCTCGGGGACTCTGCATCCCAGGGGGAGCAAAGGCAAGGTGAATCGACTCTATCAGGGAACCAGGACCCTAAGTCGAAAGGCAAGGCGGTCGTTGAAAAAGGTAACTTGAAGGTACTTTTCAAAATCCCTTAACAAACCTTGTTTGAAGACTCTATCTCTCAGGTAGTGATTACTTCAGAATATCAACTTCATATCCCATCAACAACCTGCGGTCGACTGGAGCGGGTATCTGATCAACCCGTCTCTTGTGCTCCAACAGACCAGTAGATGTCTCAGCTGAAGGACTCACTCAACCAGACTAGAGTAAAAAATTCCTCTTCGTACCTCTAGTGGTGGTGAGTTTGACTTCTTATCTGAAGCTGAAAGACTCGAGGCATTAAGGGCTGAAGAAGAGCTAGAGCTTCAAAAGAAGCAGACTGAAGACAACTTAAAGATGGCCAAGTCACTAGCTGCTAAAGTCCTTCCCAAGAAGAAGTCCAAGAAAATGGTGAATCTTGTCCAAGCCCAAGCTAGACTTCTTTCGTTTGCTGAAGCTGAACGCAAGAAGAAGCTAAAGCTGGAGGATAAAGATAAGCAATGGAGCGAAGCAAAACTGAAAAAGAGACTCAGTCCCCGCCCAATGATCAGCGTCAGCATCCGCGGACATTCTAAAAACGGTGGAACACTGGTCTCAATGCTCATCACCAGGGACAATCTTGATGCCGTTATTGAGTACCCTT